CTTGAATTAACAAGCCAGTTCGGCTGCATGCTTACTTTTGCTATCCCACCTCCATCTGTGCATGGATGGACTTTCTGGAAAGGCACTGGGGGTTGCTGCTGGGGGGCAGGTCTTCAGTAAAAGATGAAAACCCATGTGAAGGTTTGGGGGTATCAAGGAGCTACCTGGACCATCCTCCAGTGGGTCCAGCCATGGCACTCCTGAGGGCTGACTTCCTTCTATCACTGACTCAGGTGCTCTTGGGGCAGGCAGGCCAGGTGTGGTGACCCCCAGGCTGGATGCCAGGGTGTACACTGCGTTAGTATGAAGCAGCCTCAGGCAGTATGTGAGGGGGCCCAGCTGGCTACGGTGTGTGGTTACATGTGAGCCACGCAGGAGTTCTTCGGCCCCCAGCCAGTCTGTGGAAGCCAAGAGCAGTTTCTGCTCCATAGCACCGATGAAGACCTGGGCTAGAGAAAAATTTACAAGTATAGGCAAAGTGTTATTATTCTCTCTCTCTCAAACTAAACAGACGCCAGCCTGAGCAAGAGGAGGACCCTATCTCTATTAAAAATAGAAAAACTAGCCAGGTGTTGTGGTGGGCACCTGTAGTCATAGCTACTCAGGAGTCTGAGACAGGAGCATCACTTGAGCCCAGGAGTTTAAGGTTGCTGTGAGCTATGGTGCCCAGAGCAACAGAGTGAGACTCATTCTCAAAAAGAAAAAATGAAAAATCAAAACAAAAAGACTTAGTTCTAAATGGTTTTGCAGACCTTAGCTAGGCTTGGTACCAGATGACTCTTTCTATTTACTGTTTGAGTGAAAAGTGTACACACAGGTCCTTTGTAATTGCACCTAGTATTTAAAGGGGTTACTTATTTTCCTGGTCATTTTAGACTTTTGACATGAGGTTTTCTTCTCATCTCTAAGTAAGGCCCCCCAGACACTGGTGCCGGCTGTCCTACCAGCAGACTTACACTCTGCCACTGAGCAGAGTGCTTTTCTGCCCCAGTGCCTCATGCAGTGTCCATGAAGGTGCCTCAGGACAGTCACAGGCCCTTGTCAACTGGAAGACCAAAGTCCAGACTCAGATGAGTCTGGGCCCTTTAAAGAAACCCCACGGACTGACAAAGATTGGGGTGCTGGGGTAATGCAGTCTCCTTGGCACCAGGATGCTTGCCTGTGGCGGAGAAGTCTGTGTATCCACAAGCTCCCGGGACAGTCTCTGGTGACCTGGAGACAGGAGCTCCTGACCCTCAGCCTCACATGCCCTCCCGCACCAGGTGGCCTTTGCCCTGTATGCAGCGTATCTGCAGTCTGCACTTCCTCAGGTGCTCGTGGGCGCCGGGCCACAGAAAGAGGCACGTTCTGGGTCAGTGCCATCCTCCTGCTGGCCGGCGACCTTGTGAAGCTGTGTGACGTCCCATGGGCTGATCTTCCCAGCTGTGCAGGGGTGGTTACTGTAACTGAAATGACTCTGGAGTGTGGACACAAGGACGGGAGGGGTATGGTGACTGTGCTGTGGTGTCTGCTGTTCACTGAGTACTTGCTGCTCCAGGGTGCTTAGTCACCATAACTGGGCACTGGTGCAGGACCCTGGGAGGAAGAGGACCCCTCTGGCTGTGGTTTAGTCCAGCTTCCTCCCTCGTGAGTGCAGCTCTCTCTGCTCACTTCCACTGGGAGGGGAAGAGAAGGGGGGGAAGGCCTAGCAGGGGCTTAGGCAACAGTATCAGTGTCCACCTCTCAGAAGATGGCAGTTGTGACCTGATGCCAGAGGCCCAGCACCATCTCCAGCCTTCCTCTGCCCCCTGATGGGCACACCCTGGGCAGGACAGGGGCAGGTGGAGGCTGAGGGGGGTGCAGGTAATCTGGGGCCCCAGAGGCTGTGTGGCCAGACAGCACCCTGGCATGGCTCCCTCCGACTGCCCACCTGTTCTTCCCTAGCAGCTGCCTACTTTAGAAGACTTGTCTTTCTCATTTTAGTTCAAGGTCGCCAATTCTGGAGACCCTGGGGGTGGGCATGTAGAGAAACAAACTCTGTCTTTCAGGAAGGCAGTGATGAGCAGATTATGAGGCTTCAGATTTCTAAGCTAGGGACAGACCTAGGGCTGGTCCCACATCCTCTCAGCCTAGGGGTGAGACCCAAAAGAGAGGAGAGAGCCAGTTGTGGGTGTCAGTGATGGTGTTTGCCTGGGCCCTGGACCCCAGGTATAATTCTAGTCTAAGGCTCTCTGTGAGGGCATGAACTCAAGCTGGCCCCACAGGACAGCATATTTATATATATTTATCTCAAAATACTATGGTGGTACAAATGTTTGGTCACATGTATCAGTTTTGTTATGCTTGAGTCAGGGCTGTAAGTGCTGTCATCACCCAGCACTTGGGCTGAACTCAACGTCCAGGAGCCGGAATTGGGTAGAAACTCTGAGTTCTGTGGAACATACTAGTTTTAAGCCAGAATCTACCTTTCCTTAAGACTTTGGCTGCTGGGAAATGTTTTAAGGCTTCCTATAGATGACTGAATATGCTTCTCTGGGGCAAGCTAAGGGTGTTGGAATTTCATGTTGGAATGGCTTCCCACACTGAGAGTTTATCTTTATGTCCATGGAGATTTCTCTGATGGGGACTTTTTTGAGAATTCTCTGGGGCAAAGTGCGGCAGAGGTTTAATTCCAGGAGTATACATGTAAGCAGATGCTTCTCCTGGAACTGGATCCCTGCTTTGTGAACTCCCTTCTGCCATACAGGGGCCACTGGGGAGTGAGGAGCAGCTGGCTGAGGAGATTGGTGAGCAGGGCGGGGACATGCCTCCGGTGTCACCTCTGGTGCTGGCTGCTGCTTGGAGCTGACAGGCTTTGTGTGTTTCTTTCTCGTTTCTGCAGGCTCTAGACACCGGTTGAGCCTGGCAGCTTTGCTGTGTGCTAGGCTGTGGCATCCCATGGCTCTGGTAGTGTCCAGTTCCTATCAGGACAACTCAGCCAGCACAGAGGCCAGTGGGCAGAAGCTTCTTGCCTGCCCAGAAATGAGGTTTGGCCTGTCTTGTCCCTGCCGTCCTGCTAGGGGGCTCATCTTGTTCCTGTGCCATCTGCCTCCACCTCCTTCCCCCACGCTAGGCAGACACAGAGTGAAGGTGTCACCGTGGGTTAGACTCAGTGTCCAGCACATACAGGAGTGAGCATGCCAAGGTGTAGGTGCCCAGTGTAGCTCTGGGGAGGGGCAGTGGGTGAGGATGGACCAGAACTTGTTCCCTGTAACTGGCCAGCATGGAAGGCTGGGTGGGGGTTCCTGTGCCAGCCCTCCGTCCTCCTGAAGTCACGTGGTCTCACCTCTGTCCAATCTCCTGCCTTGCCACCCTCACCCTGACTGTTGGGGTGAATGATCTAAATTCACATTCTTGGTCGCTCTGGGTTTTAAAGTTCAGGACTGTGATGTCCAGAAAGCTTCGGGAACTGGGGAGTTCACATAGCTAGAAAGGCTGGGATGGGAACTTGGGCTCAACTTTGGCTTAGGGGTTGTGTGAGGAATCTGACTTTTGGTGTTGCCAGGTGTGAATGGGACCCTGCTACCCTGCCGCCCAGACCTCCCACTTCCACATACTTCGTAAACATCACCCCAGCTCTGCACAGTGTGCACTATGTGCCCTGTTGCTGGCCAGGACCATGTCTCCCAGATACCAGGGGTTCCCAGAGGACAAGTGAATACTCATTAGGCTCTGTGCCAGCTGGGAAAGGGGCTGGTCAGTGCCAGGGTGCTCCAAGACCCTATGGAGGGTTGTGAGTCAGCTGCAGGAGGCCGTGAAGTCTCTAGTGTCAGGATGGAGGTGACAGGGCAGTGCTATCTGCTCCTCAGAACAGCCCCCGCTTCATTCTTCTCCTGATCCCCTGTGGCTGTCTTGACC